GGGGAAACAATGGGTTCGTATGGAATGGGTTGCAGGTGCCGCACCTGCTGGAACAAGAGAAGGTGACCCTGCTGGATCTCCTGTCCAACATCGGGGGAATCGTCGGCGTCTGTCTCGGTGTTTCGCTCGTCACCGTCTTCGACATCATCGAGGATGTCTGCTCCCGCATTCGCTGTAAATTATTCCAACGTGGAAGCGAGGTGAACCATGAAAGGCGTGCCTGAACTGATCTCATGAACGACCCTTATGTCCGTGGCTTTTTGATTGGCATTATGAGGCATAGATCTTAATGCCATGTAGGAATCCACGTGACGGAATGGCGCCTTATATACCTTGTTCTCGAAATCCATTTTCTCCGTTATCTGTATTACATGTTCTGCGTTTCACTTTATCCCGTAATTACAGGAATCGAAATGACTTCAACTGATGAGAAAGTTCAATATCTTTCCCACACGCAATAAGGCCGGTCTGGTTCCGTCCTTGAACGAAAAACACTCGATGATCCGCGTATTCCGGTTCATTGGTGCGGAAAAGATGAATAATTGCAATCAAAATTTCCAGTTGGAAAATCGGAAAATCGGGATTAATGGTATAGAAATCATTTGAAGCATTTTACACTTTTTGAAAGTTTCCGAGATTTGCGACTTCAAACTACTGTTGCATTTTCTGAAGTGGAACCAGGATATCTAGAAACAACCACGGTACACTATGCAATTATCTCCTCTTACACAAGCATGTTACATAGACCTATAGTGGATGGATGTGATATACATATTGGATAGGATATACAACGGATAGGATGTGTTACCTTTCTCGGAATCCAATTGTGGTCCATTCGCTGCAGAATTATTGTGATCTTTTAAAAGATACTGACTGTATCATACCATCCCGAATTTTTTCATCACAATGCCACATTTTACGTCTGTTTAGTTCTTGACATTTTTTCTCAGCACGGAGGAAAATATGAAAGAATTAAAAAATGTTCTTACCACCCCTGTTATAAAATGCTCACCTGAATCCACTTGGCGAAAAGACAAGGTGGATTTGAAACAAAGAGGATGTCCTTCCTGATGGGTGTCGCAAATGGTTTGTGTCCCACCTGGTGGAGATCCACCTAATTATTCTCGCACGTGTATTTCGAGCCAGGTGGATGTTCCCCCCCCCCACCCTCTTGGAGGATTTCAACCAGGTGGGCTTCCTTCGAACAGATGGATTCACGCCGAAAAGGACATCTATTTGATTCCAAATACGAGTGGCGGGTGGATTTTTCGTTAGATTCGGTCGTATGTAGAGGGGAGGCAGAGAGGTGAGTGTCTTCATTGTGTTGGGATCTGAAAATTATTCCGCTGGGGAGCAAGATCTCACGTGCTACCAATAAAGAAAATGGAGCGGAGTCACCATTGTTTCTTTCTATCGCCAAGTGATTTCCAACGGGTCAGAGTACCCTAAGTTTTGGAAAAGGGCCGGGATTCCAAGAAATCGGAATCGGTGGAGGCGGATGGCGGTTCCATTGCCATTGGTCTTGGGCCTTGTGAAGAGGAATCCTTCCAGCGAAAACTCCTACTCTTGCGCTGTAACGTGAAGGTAGGAAGTCCGCGGACTCGCAATGCTGTGCGCATGCTTCCTTTCACCATCTCCTATACAGATAAATGGAGTGGACCAAAGAAGGGTTCGCCCTAATATATTTTTATTCGCAAGGTATTATAAACTTCTCATGAATAATTGTCCCTTTTAATGCCAATTTGTCATTTTGTTCTTAGATTGCCTAGCATTCTCTTCAAACGATGTGGGATGAGATGTGGGATTATATATTAATATTTGAATCCCCTTCCCCAGAACAAAGCTCTGAATGTTCAAATATGGGAAGGGGAACCTGAGAATCAATCTCATTTCACTCTGAGACCACACATCGATGTTTTCACTGCTATTCCCCAAAACGAAACCAGCCAAAATTTTTCATTTCGTCGACTGGGTTTTATGTTTGCAAGATGAGTTGAAATTTTCTTTCAAATAAAATTATTCTGAACTTTTAAATTTATTTCTTATCTGTATGATTCGTTTATTATTTAAATCACTTTTTGGCGTATTGATGGGGAATCAAAAGGGTCGCATCGCCACTTACGTCCAGTTTTGAAAGTGGATGAATTTTCCTATTCCACATTGGCTTCGACTCCCTATAATTGTTCCAATTGCCTGTTTACTCATAAGGGATAGTACAGGTTGTACGTGGCACTATTTGCCTTTTCCCCCATACCTGCAGAGGTGTTGACAAGTGACTGGAGCACTCTGGATTGTCATTTTTTTCTCTTAATCGATATAATGCGAAAGTATAAATACTAAAAGTATAAAATTGGTTCAATAGGATCGGACAAAGAGAATGTTTTAGAAACTTGAGATCCCTGTGATTTCTATTAAATTTCCCGATTTAAATTTGACTTCAATAAGCAGTAAATTGTCCTAATTGCATGTTTACTCTGAAGGGATATGCGGATTGGACGTGGCATTGTTGCACTATTTTCCAGGTGCGTGGCGAAATTGCCTATGCATTTTCCGTGCCTTATTTTGACTATTATGTGTTTTCCGGCATTTGGATTCACTTGACGTTCAAATTGTTGATACGTACATTTAATATTNGCGCGGAGGAGAAAGTGTCGGACGGGCTGGCTCGTCTCTACTTCAGTTTCCCCTCGAATCGGGTTCGTCCTTCCTCCGCCTCTCCTCCCCTTGCAATTCGCTTTCGTCCCAGCCAGGGGAAACAATGGGTTCGTATGGAATGGGTTGCAGGTGCCGCACCTGCTGGAACAAGAGAAGGTGACCCTGCTGGATCTCCTGTCCAACATCGGGGGAATCGTCGGCGTCTGTCTCGGTGTTTCGCTCGTCACCGTCTTCGACATCATCGAGGATGTCTGCTCCCGCATTCGCTGTAAATTATTCCAACGTGGAAACGAGGTGAACCATGAAAGCCGTGACTGAACCGATCTCATGAACGACCCTCATGTCCGTGGCTTCATGATTGGCATTATGAGGCCTAGATCATAATGCCACGTAGGAATGCACGTGACGGAATGGCGCCTTATATACCTTGTTCTCGAAATCCATTTTCGCCGCTATCTGTATTACACGTTCCGCGATTCACTTCATCCTGTAATTACAGGAGTCATTTCCTTCAACTGATGAGAAAGTTCAATATCTTTCCCACTCGCAATAAGGCACGGACTAAAAATTCAAAATTTTTAGTCCGGAAATCGGAAAATCGGGATTAATGGTATAGAAATCATTTGAAGCATTTTACACTTTTTGAAAGTTTCCGAGATTTGCGACTTCAAACTACTGATGCATTTTCTGAAGTGGAACCAGAATATCTAGAAACTACCACGGTACGCTATGCAATTATATACTCTTACACAAGCATGTTACATACACCTATAGTGGATGGATGTGATATACATATTGGATAGGATATATAACGGATAGGATGTGTCACTTTTCTTTGAATCCAATTGTGGTCCATTCGCTGCCGAATTATTGTGATCTTTTAAAAGATACTGATTGTATCATACCATCCCGAATTTTTTCATCACAATGCCACATTTTATATTTGTTTAGTTCTTGACGTTTTTTGTCAGCACGGAGGCAAAGATAAAAGAATTAAAAAATGTTCTTACCACCCCTGTTATAAAATGCTCACTTGAATCCACTTGGCGAAAAGTCAAGGTGGATTTGAAACAAAGAGGATGTCTCTTCTGATGGGTGTCGCAAATGGTTTGTGTCCCACCTTGTGGAGATCCACTTAATCATTCTCCCACGTGTATTTCGAGCCAGGTGGATGTTCCCCCCCCCCCCCACCCTCTTGGAGGATTTCAACCAGGTGGGCTTCCTTCGAACAGATGGATTCACGCCGAAAAAGAATATCCATTTGATTCCAAATACGAGTGGCGGTTGGATTTTTCGTTAGATTCGGTCGTATGTAGAGGGGAGGCAGAGAGGTGAGTGTCTTCATTGTGTTGGGATCTGAAAATTATTCCGCTGGGGAGCAAGATCTCACGTGCTATCGATAAAGAAAATGGAGCGGAATCACTATTGTTTCTTTCTATCGCCAAATGATTTCCAACGGGTCAGAGTACCCTAAGTTTTGGAAAAGGGCCGGGATTCTAAGAAATCCGAATCGGTGGAGGCGGATGGCGGTTCCATTGCCATTGGTCTTGGGCCTTGTGAAGACTAATCCTTCCAGCGAAAACTCCTGCTCTTGCGCTGTAACTTGAAGGTAGGAAGTCCGCGGACTCGCAATGCTGTCTGCATGCTTTCTTTCACCATCTCCTATACAGATATATGGAGTGGACCAAAGAAGGGTTCGCCCTAATATATTTGGTCGCAAGGTATTATGAACTTCTCATGAATAATTGTCCCTTTTAATGCCAATTTGTCATTTTGTTCTTAGATTGCCTAGCATTCTCTTCAAACGATGAGGGATGAGATGTGGGATTATATATTAATATTTGAATCCCCTTCCCCAGAACAAAGCTCTGAATTTTCAAATATGGGAAGGGGAACCTGAGAATCAATCTCATTTCACTCTGAGACCACACATCGATGTTTTCACTGCTATTCCCCAAAACGAAACCAGCCAAAATTTTTCATTTCGTCGACTGGGTTTTATGTTTGCAAGATGAGTTGAAATTTTCTTTCAAATAAAATTATTCTGAACTTTTAAATTTATTTCTTATCTGTATGATTCGTTTATTATTTAAATCACTTTTTGGCGTATTGATGGGGAATCAAAAGGGTCGCATCGCCACTTACGTCCAGTTTTGAAAGTGGATGAATTTTCCTATTCCACATTGGCTTCGACTCCCTATAATTGTTCCAATTGCCTGTTTACTCATAAGGGATAGTACAGGTTGTGCGTGGCACTATTTGCCTTTTCCCCCATACCTGCAGAGGTGTTGACAAGTGACTGGAGCACTCTGGATTGTCATTTTTTCTCTTAATCGATATAATGCGAAAGTATAAATACATAGTAAATTTCTGGATAAAAAAAAAGAACTTGTTATTAGGAATGCGCTGGAGTGCGCAATCGGTTCATTAGGATCGGACAAAGAATGTTTTAGAAACTTGAGATCCTCGTGATTTCTGTTGAATTTCCCGATTTAAAATTGACTTCAATAACCAGTAAATTGCTGTAATTGCCTGTTTACTCTGAAGGGATATGCGGATTGGATGTGGCATTATTGCACTATTTTCCAGGTGCGTGGCGAAATTGCCTATGCATTTTCCGTGCCTTATTTTGACTATTATGTGTTTTCCGGCATTTGGATTCACTTGACGTTCAAATTGTTGATACTACATTTAATATTCAATTACGTAGACTGTGACTTCAATGTCAGGCCGTTTAATGGACGTCCCCTTCCGTCTCACCTCATTACCGAGGATCCGGAAGATGACAATTCCAGACGTCAGTACTGACACAGGAAGAAAAATAAAGGCGAAGGTAAACATGCCCTAGAAAGGGACGGAAACGGCATTGACGCATTGTCAGGAATGTGTCAAGAGCTGGGAACGACTTATAGGAAGCAGCGAACGCAGGAGAAGTGCCCTATCTCACGAAAGCGCTGCAGGAAGGAAGACTGAAACTTTCCACCTCCTGTCCTGGAATAATTTCTTCAAGTATATTAGAAGTGAAACGCGATTCACACCGTTTCAACGAGAAAATACATATTTCGTTCATGAATTTTAAATTACACATTTTTCAGCTTCATCTTCTTTCAATCCTCTCTCACGGAAATCTCAGTAGAGCGAGCAGCGAGCGTCGGATCATTTGACGCTTTCCATTCCCCATTTCCCCTATTCTGAGTTTTCTCCCATGACGTGTTTAGCTAGCTAATGTAGAAGTATGAGTTGGGTTCTCTCATGCGATACGACAATAGTACGTTAATTAGAACCATTGCAATTGCACTTGACATTGTAAAATAGGCATAACAAATTCATATAGTCTACGACTTCGGTTTTTGGTACTTTCAGTGCGACTTCAATTCGAGCGGCTTTTTTAACGTCCCTGTTTTCATATTCTGAATGGTAACGCCATACAATGAACACTGACGGTGTTTTTGAAAGAGGAAAAAGACCTTGAAGAAAAAAACCACTTTGTATCATTAGGATATTTTATCGTGAGTTTAAGATACTCTTGCCTATGTGAAGTGATTTTCAATCTGATGTTAGGAATTTGAATCAAGCGGAGATTCTTCATAGCCCCAGAATTGTAACCTAAGAGTTTATCCTGAAAGCAGCGCCTTCTATAGCAAGACTTTAAGAACCACATTTCTCTGAGCGATAGTATGCGAGTTTACGCATTCTTCCTCCTAAACTAATAACCTCCTGTATGGCGATAAAAAATTCCGAGAACTTTTAGCAATCAAAATTTATGCCCTAAGGCCTTGTATGACTAAATGATGAACTTCCTTGAATTCGTTTATCCCAGGACTATATCAAGATCCGTTTCCCTTAAGAAAATTTATCTTGAAAACGTCCCCACAAAAACAGTGCCCCCATGGGGATATATCTCCAAAGTGAAAATTTTCTTCAAATTAGCAAATCACTAGCCACCTTCATATTCATTTTCACCGCTTCGTGCCTTTCCCTTTGAAAGGAAAAAAAAAAGAAATAAATAAAACTTATCCATAGAAAAATGTGCCCCTAGGGTATTCACCTGAAATTTGAATATTTCCTGGAAATCAACGCTTCAATAGGCACTTTCATGTCCATTTTAAGCTTTCTACGTCTTCGCTTTGGCTGAAGGGAAAGAATTATTTTAAAACGTACCCTTGCATGAATACCCCCTAAGGGCATATACAGTACCAACAAAAAGTTTGAGGCAGGATTGCAAAAATATTACTTTTTCAAGAAAAAGTAAAAAAAAAATGTAACACTTTTTTTTCAAGCGAAATGTTAATGATTACTCAAAGTTTTTATTAGTCGAAATTATTCTTTTCTTCGTTATTTTTAAATTTCTTTTCAAATTATTCATGATTTCACGCAGGAACACGTTTCGCGTCTTACTACTAGCTTCACTTGAAAGTGTATTAACGTTAAAAGTTTTTAAATTTTTAAAATAAGACTTCATCTCCTGAGTATTATATTTCATGAAATTCGTCATAATTATTACATTTTTACTATTTGGAACAATTATACTGCACATGATCTCAAAAGATATTCTAAGATAGATTCAATTTTCCATTTTTCAATTTTTTCAGATAAAGTCGCGAAAAAGGGGGAAAGATCAAAACTAACCATTATGTTCATGCATGTGTTCATGCATGACAACGATCTCAAACACACACTAGCAAGATCTGCAAGAGCTACTTGGAAGAGTTGAAGCGCCGCAAAATCTTGAAAATAATGGACTGGCCACCACAATCGCCCCATCTAAACTCAATTGAATTGTTATGGGAAGAACTGGATCGCAGAGTGCGACAAAGGCAACCATTATCCATCGAAAATATCTGAGACATTCTGCAAACATGCTGGAACGGCATTCCATCAGCTACGCTTGAAAAATTGATCAACTGAATTCCCAGAATCTTAGTTGCCGTCATAAAAAGTCGTGGTGCTTATTTCAATGATAGCAAAATTTGAATTGAAAATAATAATACTTTCTTCTTCGCACAAATATTTCATCTTTCTCTAGCGTAGTTTGAATCAAATTATATTTTTTCGGAAATAAACCGATATTTTTTAAGACTTCCGAAATTTTCCCACTTGTCTCAAATGGGTGCCGAGAGAGAACGAACTGATATTTTCATCGAAATAGTTACTCCGAATATTCAAAGTTTCTACTTACTTTAGTTCTCTTTTCCATTGGATCAGAAAGTATTCCGGAATATGCGCCTTTTGATTAAAAAATGTGCCCTGAGTGGTTTTACTTAAACGTAAACATTTTTACTGAAATCAGCAACGGGAGAACTGCATGCCTACCAAGC